AGGTGCTAAGAGAAGGAGTGACATAGTGCAATGATATTAATCATTCATTCCATATTCCCAAATCAATTTCCAATATTTCCCACCTCTTATAAACGTCCATGGGGAGGGCAGATCATTGGGCCAGCCATGCTCTCTTGCATTATCATCTCTATCACCAACCTTGAATAACACTCAATCTCCCACCCAAAAGTAATGACCATGATGCGTGAAATGCCCCAGATATTGGGCGTGGGATGGCCGGCCGGGGCATGAGAAAATGAGCGGAGACAGTAGGCCTGTCATCATCAGCTCGAGATTGCCAAATAAGCCGCTACTTTAACTATCCCGATCGCAAATTATCCAGCTAATTTGCACCTTCATCAATCCGCTATTGCAATTAGCGGGATATTTGGTCGAGATAATCATCCCAAGATATCTTGAGCTAGTTTTCAAAATATCCTGCTATTTGTCCGGTGCATCTTCACCAGCCCGAAGACTTGCACTATGCGCGATCGCTGAGCAAAATATCTTGAGCTTATTTCTCAAGCTTGAGTCTCGAGCTGATGAAGTCGATGCAATTTGTAACTTCGGGCCTTTTTCCCAAATCAGAAATTCGTGGGCTATTTGGCAATCTCGAGCTGATGATGACATACCTAGTAAGAGTTGATATGCACAGTTGTGCATAAAAGTGAGCAGAGAAGAATGAAAACATAGTGATATAGCCTTGGGTTTCAATTATGCACAGGGTGGGACGCGTTGTGGCATAAAGAAAAGATTCCATGGATTTTCATAAATAAACAATCAAGGACTGTTGGAGATTAAATAAATTAATAAATATATCTCATAAATTCATTCAAAGGATCACATTTTTACCTCTAGGAAGAGATAATCTTCTGTAGTTCAAGGTAAATGACATTTTCCAGTGAAGCACATCAGAGCAGTTTCAGGAGCAAAACATACCCCTTCGGTCATGTTTCAATGAATATAGAATAATGACATTTGTGATAAATTCATCTGTACCTGGTTTGTGATTATCATCATAATGCAGCTTCATTTACAGTGCCCAGGGATATATATGATTGTCATTGACCTCTCAAGTCAGATGATAGTACATTTTGCGTCTCCCTTTACACTGTCTAGGGAAATAGACCCGATTCTTTTTATCTGAGGCTGAGATAGATGGGCAATTCTTCTTCCTATTCTTCTCTCTCTCTCTCTCTCTCTCTCTCTCTCTCTCTCTCTCTCTCTCTCTAGAAAATTTGTATTTTTTTTGACCTCACGGTGTGTCCAGTACACGAAACAGCTCACCAATGCATTAAGTACAGTGTACGATACAGCTGTCTTGCGGAAGAGGTGACCTGAACGAGCTCATCTTCCTCCAAAAACATCCAATAAATCATCCTGTTACTCTGTATTTCTGATCATTCTTCCTACTTGCTATATACGCCTATCCTTCGGGACAGCAAAATTACATTCTCCTATTCATTACACTCCCAATTGGCAATGAATGGAATTGGCATCCTCCGAGTCCTTCCAAGTACATCATATCTTGCTACTGAAAGATTGACCCATCTATCACATAATATTCCTGTTCCCTTGGATTTTGGTGAAGATTCAATTTCATGCAGGATTCTAGAAGAAAAGATTGGCAGAAAATTGTGCAATTACAGACCTAGTATAGTATACAGGGCAAATAATGCAAGGGTAATGTATATACAGAGTGACCTAAACAAAATTTGACAATTTGAATTTGGAATCCAATTCACGAATCTGATTCAAGAAATGATCAAGTTACACATAGCTGCCCTTCTTAGTTTTGGTATACCCTAGAATTACTTGGATAATAATAATTAGCACAGTACTGCATCCATGTCAAGCATGGAAACTTTTCAGAGTACTGGCAAACTTCACTGTACAAGCAATTGAAGTACTTCAACTCATCATCCAACATGGGATGAATCTCGAGGCAAACATATTATGGAACTGCATGTACAATTTGAATTAGAGCTCTCCATTCAGTTAGCATATAATCTTGAACAAAGCTCAATGCAGGTGTACATTAAGTATGCATGTAATATAGAGCTTTCCCTCATTGTATTTGTTTTCCACTGCATGAACAATAATTCTAGATTGAATTCACTGGAGAACAAATTAATCTAATATTCACAGGAAATTTTCTAAAGTGACTGTACTCATGCATACAAAGAATACAAACACACGCATGCACATACCCTATTCAGATATTATGTGTGGACACCATATAAAATGTAGGATGTAAATTGCAAAAACAAAAATAAAAAATAAGCCGATAAGTATTTTGAACTGCCTGCCAAATACTGACAATAATCAATTATATAACCCCTATGGAATCCATGGCTTAGAGTTGTGTAGTTTTTTGGTATTTCATAAACAACAAGTCATATGCTTTGCCAGTATTTGACCTCCAACAAACAGGTGATTATTTTGCTATAAGGAAGAGCGGCAATTCTTTGATGTTGCTAATTCAATAAAGAGAGAAGTTACTCTGAAGCTCAAAAAAGATCTGTGACCTTTTGTAGGTAACCAAATGCAGTACATTACAGGTGATATAATATCCTTTATCATCACTGTTAGTTCAAATGACAGTTCAAGTTGATAACACCACTCGGGATAAATTGATTCAGCTCCAAAACCAGCAACATGTACGTGGTATTGGAGTGAAAATGTAAATCGTCATTGATGATTTTTCTATTTACAGGAACTGTACACATCTCAAGGGCCCAGTCTGATTTTAACTTTGAACTACATGGTATCATTTGATGATTCAGTGTGAAATCATATGACAACTTTTCTTGGGATCAAAAAGGTTGCAAGTTGTAAGGTAAATTGTTGAATTATTTTGGGCATTCAAAGCTGTTCTGCATAAACAGTATAAATTAAAAGAAGAGAGAATATTCCTTTAGAAAACATGGGATAAAGTACAATACAGGTATTAGTTTACACAAGATTACACATGTATTGAAGTTTAATCATTATATGAAGCGGCCATTTTAACCTAAATCTGTGGTGTTAGATGCGTGAATGTCATTACGAAAAGCGGTAGAATAAGGTTCAAGCTCCAAAACTGCTTTTCAGATAGTAAGTTCATAGTATTCTTCTTGTCATCCATACTTTTCAACAAAAATACATAAACAAACAACCTCACGGTCATGTTCACTTCATGTTTTATATCAAAAACCATGTTTCGCATATCATAACCATATCATGTCTGAATCAATCAACCAATCCATGATTCTTCATGAGTTCCCCAAAGATTCACTATACTGTCATGCCATGCTGGAAAGCTGTTTGGCATATTAAAAGTAGAAAGGGATAGCAGGAAAACATATGTTATGATATGGTGGCGAGACAGGGGAATATGTAGCAAATACTATGTTAACATCTAACCCTGAAAGCAACTCAATTAAACATGTAATGCTAGAGTAGACAGAATGATTTATATACACATGTACATTAAATGATGAAGAAATAAATACATCCCCCATACTAATCAGTACACAGAGCAATGCTCAACAGGAACAATCAATGAATACATTACTTTAGTACAAAATATTCAAATCATTTTTTTTATGAAAAACAATAAATATGAAAATTCTTTGTATGTGTCCAATTCCTTACACTTTGCAGTACTGCTTTCAACTACATTTTGAAAGGTGAACAGCACAGGATGAGAAAGTACTTCCGACTCTGCCTCATTTTAGAAGAAACACTGAAAACAAGTCCATCATTTGTATTACTAAATGACTCAACAGAGATTTGATGGTCAGACAATCAAACTCATGGTTGTTTGCTTCATACATATTCATGCCTTATCCTAGGGGCTTCCAGATCCTTAAACAAGGCCACAAATGAATATGCAGCATTTAGTGTTACTGTTATTCTGTTAACTAGCTAGGCCAGTGCAAAATGCATGGTTTTCATATATATCAGTTACACATATATGTAGACACAAACGTGGCATAGAGTCATTGTGTATGGAAGTAGAACTGGGAATGAAATGTAATTCAGCATGTGGTGAGCACAAATAACTAGCTACCGGTAAATGTGGCAAGTGACATTTTATACTTGTCCTTTCAGATAGACTTTCAAATATATCATGAATGTTCTTCAAAGGTTATTAGAGTTCATGAAGCCACAGGAAGCAATCACAAACCTCTCTCTCTTTTCTTTTCACATGGGTACACCAATAGCAATATATATATCAAAGAGATAACTTAATATAACTCTGAATTCCGGCTATATTTCCATAAATATGAGGGAAGAGTTTAAGAGTATCAATTCGGTTTGTCTCTTGTCAGAAAAAAATTTGTATACAAAATCTAAGAACAATATTGCCATTTTAGGCAAGATCTAGGCAAGTTTTTTCGTAGGCAAGTTCTTCAGCCTAATTCAGTCCCCTGTATTTGCTTAGCAACCAACCAACATCTATGCACTTTAGCAATTTTCATGCCCTTCTTCTCTTTACGTTAAAGAAACATATTTTTGTAGGGCTGCAAAATCTTTTTGATATCCCTTACGTTACAATGATAACATTGTGCATTTCCATTCAGTTTGATCAAATACAAGATAACTGCGGAACCCAGCGGTGCAGTTTCACCGTCCATCCCAAATGGAAATAATCGCGGCTCCAAATGACTTTAGGGATGAAGTGACTTTCACTCTGTTTTTCCTGAAAGGCAAGAATTAATGCACAACAAATCCTTGATACATCAGCGGACCTGCAAAGTCAGCTTCTCTGCAGGATGCTTTCTCCTTCTCCACATCACCTTTTATCTTATTTCATCTAGGGCACGATAGACGAGCTCCAGACTCGAGCCTTCGGGGAAACCATTTTGTATGCTATGCATTATTAATGAATGCATGCAGAATATTATAAAGGAAGCTTGCTTTGCCTGTAAACAAGAACCAAGTGTAAGTTGATGTAGTGTACATAATCTCAATGACAGTGTTTTGAATACATGCAGTATGCTATGTAACTCCCTCTAAAATTGAAAAAGTGTAAACAAATTGAATTGACATTTTATAATAGTGTTCAGAACTCATTGACATACAAAAACACTCACTGGTTTTCTGTTTTTTTGTCGACATTTACAATGTACAACAAATTCTTAATGCTTTCATTGCCCACTGAATAATGATGATTATCAAGGGCAGATTTTTCTATTGCAAAATTGAATGCAATCTTATTATTCTTCATAAAAATACAATGTCTATATTTTTGTTTAAATACTAGAAAAATGCTAAATGACCCACTCTGTACGAGAACAAGGGCACGTACAGCCAGCACTATGACGGCGGTGTGTGCTCTATACCAAACGCACATACAAAGATGTTCATGAATACGATGCAGAACACAAGCGCTGTCGCAAAGTTGTTGATCCAGTCCAACTTGCGTTGTTTGTAGACATCGTTGAGGTTGTCGCGGCCCAGTAGGAGCAGGAAGACGATGACGATGATGAGGAGCACGATGGAGAGGATGACCAGGGCAGTCACAAAGCCATGGAATTGATTCTCTTTGCCCGCTGTGATAATGGTCTTGAGTTGAGCAGCGTTGGCCGCCAGTAGGGCCACCACCAGGAAGCCCTCGGCTATAGTCTTCTTGGTGGCATACAGGTTGAAGTCTATCGGAGGTGGTGGAGGGTTCTGTGCATGGAGAATAAAAGAGAAATTTGTACAATGATAAGTTAACTTGAATATTACGAAATGAGCTTCAGTTTGGGGAAAAACAGCTTATATCGATGAAGGGCAAACATTGTAGGATAGAAAAAGTGAGAGGAATTCATAAAATGTTAACAGACAGGAGGATGCACAAAAATTACAAGAACTTTAAAATACCTTTAAAAAAAGAACAATGTCACAATACTGTAATTCCTTGAATTAAGACCATCTGGTAAAATACATACAGATCAATAAATATCTGAAGGCAACCCTTGAGTCACATTCCAAAACAAAGAACAAAATTATTCTTTAGACCTCTATAGATTCAAAGCAAACCGATACACATACAGCAAACTGATTTACATATATATACATGTCTATGCTAACTCCCGTTCACTGTTATGAATAACTTTCAACATCTGGTACCTTAAAAAAACAAGATAGAAAGGGAAAAAAGATATCTGGTGCACAATACGTAACCTTACATTGTCCATATGGACAATGCACTTCACAAGTTCACAATGCTACCAAATTTCATATTTCACACGGTTGACGAAACACATGCAGACATCTGCAACCAGACACCATTTTTCTTGTTTGCTTAAATTCTCTCTCTCTCTCAACCGATCTCTCACAGCTCTCCACTTACAGGAGCATCAAATTAATGAAAAAAATCATACCATCGGCTCTATAAAATCACAGAGATGTTAATGATTCAGATGATTTTATTACCAATTTCTGTTCTCTTTTAAGTTACTGTATCAACGTTCAAACAGAGATCATTTAGCTAAAGTCTATTTGTGTATATGAAAGTCAGAATGTATCATGTCCGAAATAGTGTTAAAAGAATTATTCAAATTATAGTTTTTAAACTTCTATATTGAAATGTTCACCTTCTAAAGCAATAATTAATTATTTTGCATTAAAAAAGCCAGGTAATTAATCCTGTGAGTTTTATTGTCCACTTGTAAAAAAACACAATTTTGTAAAACTGTGCCTCTAACCATCATAATTGACTGAATTCACATCAAAATAGGATTCTATTCTATTCTACCTTTAAGCAGCTAGGCAGTGGTTTCTCCTCTGAGATTAGGGTCAATGGGTTTATCGATCAGGAGAGGGGGCTGGTGTGAAAAGATGAGAGTCTTGGGCCACCAACAGAACCCAAGATGAGGCATGCTTAATGAATTCTGGTGTCTCAAGCCAGATCAAGTTACCTCCAGTATAACGGAGAGCAAATTACTGATTCTTATGCACCGCACACCACCTCATTTCCTCTGATTTATACCTCACAATGGGAGCTCGATACGGCTCTTTAAATGTTAACCGAGTGAAGTATGAAGCCTTAAGTACCCAATGCACTTTGAGAGTGAGATATGAGGTTTATATTACATCTAATGCTTGTCAAATTCTTGCATCAATGTGCAAAATGATATGAAACCGTCTTTCTTGAATCTACCTCTCAATTCTGCTTTAAAAAAAATTGAACGATATTGAACTATTACTTATATTCTGTAAGCAATTCCTCAAAATTGTCATTTCCTCCTCTCTATGTCTCTCTCTCTCTCTCTCTCTCTCTCTCTCTCTCTCTATGTATATATATACTCCTTCTGTCCCCTATCCTTATCTTTCTTTTCTATTAGTTTCTCTTTCTCCCTATTTCTCTTTCTCTTACTTTCTCTCTTAATCCTTTGTACAGGTCTTAATCATAAATAGTCCACAACTAGTATCACTTAAAGTGTAATAAAATTACACCATATCATAATTACTAACGATCATACACATTTAAGACACAAAATCCATCAATGAGTCTGCTACCTCCATATTTGCGAGCTGCATCTCGAGTTCTTCCATACTAACAGTCGGCCTTGTCTCAAATGGAGGGTATCTCCTTGGGGGGCGTCCCCCACAGCACAAGGAACCTATCCTCATGGTGGTATAGGTATGTCTCTTGGTGATAGGAGGTGAAGAGCTTCGACTGCGGGCCCGGTATGTCGCCGGGTTAGCCATGTTTCCATAGCAGTCCCACACCACACTATAATCAACTCTCAAAGCTTGGATGAATGAAGCACTTAACAATGTTCGATCCAAGGAAGCGCTCTTCAAGGAGGCGTCTCAACTCAATTAGTAGCTTTTAATTATTCCAAGCGAAGATACACGATCCGAAAGTGCATTAGAGATGCCTCAACAAGGACAAAACAGTGACGAGCTACTCAATACTGAGTGCACTGAGATACAGTCCCAACATATCTTCCATAATTCACAAATATGCATCCCTTGGCTGCGATCGAGGCAAACAGCCGGCCATAGTAGTAAAACCAGGAGCAAAACATCACCGCATGGTAGAAATCCTCTGCAGAGAAGAGTAGCGTAAATGGGTAATCGAAGGTAGATGGGAGATGGAGAAGAGGGGGAAGCGTGTGTGCGCAGTGAGTGTCACTCTCTGGTTTAATGTGTGGCAGATGAATGAATGAATGAATGGAGATGTTTGTGTGTATGCGTAGTGCATTGATATGGACAGGTACTCGATGGAGAGAGCGTCGGTTAGTTACGTGTGTTGTTGCATAGTGAGCTGGTTAAACACAGGTGGAATTTTTTTCCCTCTCCCAAGGCTACTACTACTGCTACTCCTAGGGGTCGTAATTAGTCTACAGAAGCAGGCTTCAACAGAATTTCTCGGTGGAATCTCATATTTACTCTTGTGACATAAGGTAAATGTAAACATTTCCTAAATTCTTGCATATTTTCCACGGGCCTAAAGTGCCTCAAATTACTATAAAATTACATTTATAGCAGCATCTGAAATTGTGGGAAAGGGGGCAGGACAAATGTTCTTGAACTTTCTAATTCTTTAAAATAGACCATTTTTCAATATATATTTTGAAATGTTACAATGCAATTCAATACAATCATTAACATAATTAGAGGCCTAAAACAGTTATTCCTACACTTCATATAATTGTCATAGCATACAAAATACTGTTCTCATTCAATTATAAATTATTGCTTGCTAAAGAAGTCTACATTTTTGTAAGGAATTTACTGTATGTCCTTTACCACTGATGACATATATAGCTCAACTAAGATCTAAGGGCAAGTACGTGACCCTTTCGCCATGGAATATTCCATCAAGAAATTTAATTGTGGGGGATTAAACCTTTGTTCTTGGTATCCTTGTAAACAAAATTAGTGCTGAGTATGTCAGCCTACATTCATATTGCCCTTTAGGATTGCAAGGAGAAAGACAAACCCAATAAAACAATAAAATACAACTTCAGATATATAACACACAGAAAGACACAAAGAAAAGAAAAGGAATGAGAAATAGAGGAAAGAAGTAGAAAGAAAGGGGAAAAAGAGAAAGAAAAGAGAAAGAAAAGAGAGGAGAAGAGAACTATTAATGGGTCACAGGGGATCAAGTAAATGTGTATGAAGGATGAAAATATATTTATGAAGACCATAAGACAAAAAGTGAGTCACAGTATAACACAACAGACGCTTTGGTTCAATAATCATCTTTGTAGTTTGTACCCAGTTCCAGATGGTATTGTTGATCAAAAATCCTAAATTTAGCTCTTTTCTCTGAATTCTCAAGGAGGTGAAAAGATCACGTAGCAAGCCAAGAATTATTGGGAAGGACAGACACACAGACCCATGAAATTGCTCCACGTCCAAGACTCCACAGTCCAGTCATACACTTGCTGAAATTGCCTCGAGGGTGAAGTATGGAATATTGGTTTACAACAAAAATTGGCACTTCTTGATGGGGACTCTTGATAAAGAACACATGTGGCCAAGAAATTGGATTTTTGGAAAAGCCTTTGTTGTAAGTGTAACATTTTGATCAGTGGCGCATTCACTCAGAACTCTCAATGCAAGACACAGTTAAATGCTACAAAATTAGAATAAAGAAATATTGAACAAAGGAGAGAATAACATTTTTCTTTGGATTTGGGGTACAAATTATTACCAACTTTTAATGTAGCCATCTAAGAATAATTCTTATTGTGAGTAAGAATTGTTAATTTTCCAATCCTTCAGGCCCAAATTTACGGTATTCACCCAGGTATTTCTAACCCAAATCATGGTTGAAACCACTGGTTTAAAACGGACAAGCCAAAACAGGGAAATTTAACAATACAGAATGTGTCATGTCTTCCCTTACAAATCGAAAACATATATATGGATATTTGGGGTTATAATTATTTTATGTCAATTTTTGTCTCCCATAGAAAATGGTTATTGTTGTGACCATTGTTTAAGTTGAAACGGTGCTCATGAAATCAGGCCATAATGTTTATTTAAATGATTTAAGAAGCAATAATCAACATCAGGGCTTACATTAACCCCCAAATTTTGTTTAGTCGAAGCTGGATGCTTAAATATCTGTTACATAAATTTATCTTTTAATTTATTTGTTTGATAAAACAACATGATTTGTAATTATACATTTCCATCATATCTAAATTAAAGAAAATTATTTAGATCATAAAGTGTTTATAAAAACCATCTCCATCTCCCCAACCACAAAAGACATTAAATATTGTAAGATGATTCTGAGGATGATCTCACTATGAATATGACTGACAAAGAGAGCGGACAAAATATACAGTTCCTCAGGTAGACGATGGAACATCCCTTCACTGCTATTATGTAAAAAGGTGAATATGCATGTGACACCTGTTCTACACATTTTTACATAATAGCAGTGAAGGGATGTTCCTTTGTCTACCTGAGGAACTGTATATTTTGTCCGCTCTCTTTGTCAGACATGTTCATAGTGTCTTCCATTACTCCTTCAATGCTCAATTGATTGCACATTCACAGACAGGGTTAGTTTTATAAGATCAAGACTATAATTGCACATTGTTATATTTGTTCTTTAAAAATTACGCTAACCCCATAACCTTTAAAGCAGATGCTACTTCACCGCCTAATTATGTCATGCAATGCTTCCATGATGCTTTCCTGAAGACACTAATTTT